GATGACCTGGATTCGACTTGGCTGTTGTTAAAATGGGCCACGATCGATGGAATCTTCTTGGTCGGACTGCAGGCTCTGCGCATACCTTGGCTGGAGTGGGCATTCCCGACCACGCTCACTCTGTTTCTGCTTCACGCCGTGGGAAATGTCTTTTTGATGTTCCGCATCCCAGTGAGTTTTTTTTATTATACATAGACTGCTGATTGGCTCTTACTAATAGCTACAGATTCCTTGGGCTGCATGGATTACTGGACTAGTAAAGGTGGCATACGATCGCGAACTATCCGTTTCTGAGCGCAGGGTCAAACCCGGCGATATCATTCATAATGCGTCATTGATCTTGGGAAGGCAAATTGTGCACATTCTGCCAGAGGGGTAAGTTTATCCGGTCCATACCTACCTACCTAAGATCATGCTGACTTTATAACAGATCCGCCGTCCTCAATCCGGATCGGAACTCGCTTTGCCTTGATTCTCTGCAATCCACAATCGACCTGCCCATCCGTGTCAACCAGACCGACCCGGTCCTGATCGAAGTGTTGCGTCTGGATCTTAACACTGGCGAAAATGAAACCATTACCATTCCGGCGAAACAGTTGAAAACTCTCAAGAAGCAGGCTGAAAAGAAGCACGCTCCGGGTCAAATTCATCGCGACTTGCTCTTCCCTGTGCGCAAGACTGGTGTCTATCGTCTTCAACGGGTGGTGGACGAGTCTCAGCTTGATGTTCATACGCGAACATTTGATGCGCTGGTGGTCTCTTGTCCTCGAGCCTTGATCAAAAACTCACACATAGACAAGTGCAAAGGAGAATTATCCGATTTCAAACTAGAAGTGGAAGGCACACCTCCGTTGAAGATCAAATACAGTCGCCAGGTCAACAATCTCGATCGTGGATTCTCGGTCCTTAACATCCAGCCCGATCATCTGCGCTCTCCGTTGCTTAATGGAAGGACTACTGCTGCTCTGTATAGCATTAACCAGCCCGATGTTTCGTGGGCGCAGAGTCAAAGGATTGAGGTTCCATTGAACGAATCACTAAATGACGGGGGAGAATGGTTTTACACCATCGAAGAGGTCCATGATGCTATTGGAAACGTGGCCAATTATTCTACTATCTTTGATGAAGGGGACCGGCCGTCCACAAAGTCGCAATCCCAGTGGTACCAGTTCTCCGTTCACGAGCGCCCGCAGTTGTCACTGCAAAACTGCAATTCTCAGAATCCGCTGCAAGTGGCCAAGGGAGACAGCACGAGGTTCCCCCTCAGCTTCCATCCTGACGGGCACGCATATGCTAGGGACGGTCCTTTTTCGGTCGGTTACTCGTACACGGGCAACACCAAAGAAGCAGCACATGAACAGACTGCCGAACTCAAGCATATGAATCAGACTTTGGACATCAAAGAGCCTGGCTTGTATGCCTTGACATCAGTCTCTACCAAATTTTGCTCAGGAGAGATCCTCGAGCCTTCATCTTGCTATTTGCATAACCCGCCTGAGCCAGAATTGACTGTCAAAGCTGAAAAGATATTTGACCGCTGTGCCAACAACGCCATTGGGTTACTTGTGGATTTGGATCTCACGGGATCACCTCCATTCTCTCTCCGATACAGCATTGAGAGTTCCAAGGGTGTTGTTTCCAAAGTACAAGCCATTGATGGAATGCGCACGCAGCTCGATTTCACCCCATCGGAAGCCGGCTCATACACCTATCGTTTCATCGACATCGAGGATGCCGTCTACTCGCCGCGGTCTCTCAAGATACCGGTGCTCAAACAAGATGTGAAACCACCGGCTTCGGCTCATTTCCTATCAAGAAAATTGAGGACTGCTTGTTTCGGCGAGGCGGTATCTGTGGAGGTATCTTTCCTTGGAGAGGCCCCTTGGGTCTTGCAATATGAGATCGTACACAATGGAAAGAGATTGAGGAAGACACTGGAATCCGATACCGATGTGGCAACTATCACCACTGACAAGCTGATCAGTGGTGGTGACTACACCGTGTCTCTCACCAGCGTCAAGGATAAGTCTGGTTGCAAACGAGCTCTCAAGGACAGCATCAATATTGAAGCCCGGTCACAGCCCCCGCACGTCTCTTTCGGTCAGATTGACAAGAAGAGAAGTGTCTTGGCTTTGCAGGGCTCCAAGATTGAGATTCCATTGAGGTTGAGTGGCGAACGCCCTTGGACTGTCAAGTATAAGAATGTTGACGTGGATTCAGCGCCCGTTCAGAAAAACTTCTGGGACGAAAACAGTGTCTTGACCGTCGACAAGCAGGGCCTTTATGAGATCAGTGAAGTATTTGACGCCGGTTGTCCTGGAACCGTGGACCAGTCTGCAAATGAGTTTGAGGTCTCATGGATTCCACGGCCCCAGATCACTGCCCTGGACGGCTCTCCCATTGGAGCCGCCAAGGAGTTTGCGAAGTCCGAGGTCTGTCAAGGCGACGATGATAGCCTTGAGATTCGACTGTCGGGCAATCCCCCATATAGTGTTCAATACGAGAAGCGACGCAAGGCGGACCGCGGAGGATTCTCTGCGGCGAAACCACGGGCTTTGAAGTCCGCCCTTCATGTGACTTCGATGGAGATGGATACCTCCGAGGCTGGAGAATACAGCTATAAGTTCACCCAAGTTGGTGACAGTCTCTACGATCACGATCCCAAGAGCAAAGCCCTGGTTGTGACACAAAAGGTCAACCCGCTACCGTCCGCCAAATTCGACCAACCTGGCCATGTCTTTGGCTTCTGCAAGGAAGACATCAATGGCGAGGAATCCATTCCGATTACTTTGGAGGGTGTCCCGCCCTTCTCCCTGGAGATCAACATCAAACACCACTCGAACGCCAAACCAGAGATTGTCACGATTTCCAAGATTAATTCCAATCGCCATAAACTGCTCATTCCTCGTCGTCATCTTGACTTGGGACAGCACCAAGTCAGCATCCACAAGGTTCGTGATTCTCGAGGTTGTCAAAAGACGGCTGACCTCGATGCCTCCTCGGTGCGGGTCGCCATTTCCGATGTTCCTACCATTATCCCCCTTGAGTCCAAGGTGGACTACTGTGTGGGCGAACGGCTTTCATTCTCGCTGTCAGGCCATGCTCCATTCGACGTGTTCTACACCTTCGATGGCGCCAAGCGCAAGGCCACTAGTCAAACCGCTAACTTCCGTCGTATTGCGGAACTTCCCGGTCAGTTCACCATCAACGCCGTTAGTGACGGAGCCAGTGGGAAATGCAAGGCCCACAAAGACATCACCAAGATCATCCACGCCATGCCGAGCGTGCGGATCAGCAAGGGCAAAGAATCGGTGGTGGACATTCACGAGGGTGGAGAAGCTGAGCTTCACTTTGAGTTCTGGGGTACACCACCATTCGAATTCACGTAAGTTAATAACCTCTACCCAGGTGGTCTATACCACACAGTCTACTAACATTCCACAGATACATCCGAAGCTCTAATGTCCGCAAGGGAAAGAAGTCGGAGGTCCTTGATATCAAGCACGACATCTCCTACGAAAACGTCAAAACGATCAAGACCTCTGATGAGGGAACTTACGAGGTCATCGCGATCAAGGACAAGTACTGTTCATTCTCTTCCCAGACACCGTCGGGCAAGTCCGACAGATGAAGCAGAGAAATCAGATGATGTGATGAATGTGGTGTACTACTTGGTGTTTTTATGAATCTTGTTATTTACGCCTTTTGGCTCTTTATTTTTTTCCAATTTGTTGCATTGCCGCGGCGCTAGCACTTCAATTTCAGATATCTACATGCTTTCTGTCAAACTAATTCAACGTTGTCTACCAAGACGGTCCCATCTGGCTTTGTGGTATCTAAGCTTTGTTAGAAGACCACTTCGTCTACTCAAGTATAGCTATATTCCAACCTTGTTCCCATGCAGGCCTCGAGGGGACAATAACGAACACACTTGGAATGAAAGTCAAACTGGGCCATCAAGAAGCAATGCGAGCAGTTGATCCCAAGTGAAGTCCAAGCTCTCACATGTAGGTGTCGTAGATAGCGCTCCAAGCATTCTGTCAGCCAACCCGGCATCTCCTCAACATCGTAGATCTCACAGGTGCCCTTCCGATTGCCCTTCCGGTCTAGTAGTTCTTTCGGGGTATTCAGTCATATCTGGATCTCCCATAATGACTGGGTACCTCAAAAACCTCCCTGTACAAGCGTATAAAGGGAGATGTTAGCTTAACTCAATGAGGATGCACCAGGAACGAACCTCATATTGAATAGGCTTTGTATAGATGTAAAACTCCACAAAGGGCCACAACTGGTAGAGATGAATGTCAGTATGACTTCGTGCCAGGAAATAACGGAAGACCTACTAAGTTGATAGGGCACAACTTTCTGCGATGAAGGATGAAGGAAGAGAAGCTTCCTTTATATATCCAAAATCAAGTATGATATACCAAACAAACAGTGATGGGGTCGAATTCGGGACATGTCGAGACATATACTTGCACTCTGGGCACTGAAATCATCAGTCGACACCTATCATTACCGCGGATATTGACTCTGGAGCTGGATGGATAGGGATCTCTAATATGATATTTTCAATCCTGGTTTCTTGACTTCTTGGGTTCAACTGATAATCAGTTATTCTAATAATCAAATTCGACAAATTCCTTCAATTCGGTCAACGAGCTCACTCTTCTGTTTTAAGTGCTTCTACAAAGCAGGCTTGGGGCAGCCATGTCCATACGCTCCCCGCTCAATATTCCATCACGTTTCTGGCACATCCATTCACTCGACGTAGCGGGGTTGTCTGATGCTTTGAGGAATGGATTCTAGGTAGGATGGTAAGAGTTGGAAAAGGGATGTGTTGACAACTTTAGGGAATATATATAAAAGCTTTTTGATATAGCGTGAGATAGATGGAGGAACATTGAAATCTAAGGAGCAGTGGCTGGTATTTATACACAATATTCAGGGCAAAGAACAAACAAATATTTTTGTTGAAATGACTATAATATTTACAATATCTACAGCTCAACCTGTACAGCCACCATACCCTCCGACATAAACCCAGTAACAAACAACCAAGCAAGCTTTTTACCATCAACCTTAGGCTCAATAGGCACCAAAACGGCCGCACTCGCAGTCCGAATCCTAGACCCATCATCCTCAAACAGCACCTTCTTCTCCCATAGCCCAGTGCGCGAATTGAAAGTGGTATACCACACCTGGATAGCATCCAAGGCGTTCGGATCCTTAGAGTTAGCCATTAAGTAAATAGCCTGCGAGACACCGGCCACAAGGAATCCGCTCGCATCATGCGAGTCGGTGCGGTATGGATCGTGGTAGTAGGACGGGTTGTCAGCGACAGAACCAAAGGAGAACGAGGTATCGATGGAGATCGAGTAGTTGGACTCGTGTTGGGTTGCGAGGAACATCTCTCCACTCATAGCACTGCAAATGATGATTTCGTTGTCGGTGCGCCCATGCCCGAGACCATTGTTGTTCCTTAGACCCGTCAACGCAACGGAGGCTTCGATGGGTGCGTCTTTGCTTGCTAGATCTGCGATCTGTACGTGGATGATGTTGGACCACTTGGCATCGCGCCAGGAATCTTCGATGAGCCGCATGGGACCCTCGCGGTAGAAGTGGTCATTGGTGACGTAGAAGGAGACAGGGTTGATGGCATAGAGGTCGTTGGGGGTTCTGATGAGCGGGTGGTTGATTGAGCGTACATGTCTGATGGAATTGGAGCTCAGGATGTGGTGGAAGAGCTCGATTTGAGACCCGGCTTTGGGGACGTCTTCAGGCTCGCCGGCTTCAAAGTATGCCGCGTTGGGTTTGTGGTTGACGGCGTAGATGTAGACTGCGTTTGACTGCTTGGGATCCGCAATAACGTCGATTCCATGTGTCGAGAAGGGATCTTGGAAGTTTTCGAATGCCAGACGGGTTGATTTCATCGTCTATCCTGGGGATTAGGGTTTGATATTTGTCTTCGATCCGTCTAGAACAAACTCACCTTGGGATTCACAACATGGATAGAGCCCTGGGTCGTGCGTGGCAACATGTGGCCTAACGGCGGGAACCAACTAAACCGCGTGCTCTTGTCGTCCTCGCAGGCAGTGAACAGCAGGTTCGCTGGGCGGTAATGGTGCAAATCCTCGCAATGGATGGTATCTTCAATATGGATTGGGCCTTGGCCTTCACCTAGCACTGTCGGATTGAGAGTCCGGAAGAATCCTGTGACTTGCACGAAATGGTTGATCGGGCCAGCCAAAAAGGCGACCAGAGCGACGAGGCCGAGGCTGATTATGGTGCCGAATCCCATTCTATTCAATATCAAGTACAAATGAAGATATATTGAAACCAAGTGTGAATTGAAAAGTGAAAAAGCTCAAATTTATGGGCATATCCATTCCTGCCCCTCACTGGATTGAACTAAGGTGAACTAACTAAATTGGACCTCGGGACAATTCTCGGGAATATCCAGAGATCAGCATATTTAGTTGCTATTTTGGATCTTAGACTCTATGTTGTAAGTTGACATGTTTCAGATTGCATAACTCGGGAGGTAAGTAGGGATGTATAAAAAGCCCACCGAAGAGAGATTCAAGCTTAAATTTATGCTTGCATAACCTCGGGATATACCTAAACGGGATTAGCACGAATATAATGTAAGACGCCGACTAAGAATAATAAAAATAGGAAGAGACTAAATAAGAAGGAGAAGACGAAGAAGAAGTCCAAAGTACAATAAACTGCAAAACAGCAAAGTGCATTAAAACTATCCTAGGCAAAAAAGTGATGCAACTCTTTTTTTCTTTGTCTGTTTTCTTAGGCCCAAAAAATTTGCACTCTCATTAAGTCTAGTCCTGCTTGGAGTGACTAGACCTCTGCGGCAAAGTCCGAAAAGAAAAAAAAAGAAAAAATAAATAAAAAAGAGTGCACTTGTGCAAATTCCCAATCCCATATCGTGTCGTGATGATTCTCCACAAACATTTTTCAGTTTGCGGACTGCTTGGCCTCAAGATATTCCTCATCACTGGCGTCGAGAACGTCATATTCTTCGTCGGTCAGGAAGCCAGTGTCGGCATCAGTAGAGGCATCGTCCAGAGTTAGGCTCTCAACATCCTCGAGAACATCCCCCTCCGAAGCATTCGACAAGGTCGGTGCCTGCGGCGCAGGAGCCTCGGCTTGGTGAGTGCTGGACTCGGGAGATTCCTTCTCCAGCTTGGGGAAGATCATGCCACTGCCGGCAATCTCAGACACGGCAGGGTATGTCTCCCTGGTGTCGGCTTCTTCCAGAGAAGGGGTCTGCACCTCTACATCACACCACAGACGATGACCGATGGCCACACCATTGGGGAGCTTTAGACGCCAGTAGGAGATAGCAGGGCCTTCGTGGTGAGGGGTGCGAAGGCTGACAGTAAAGTCAGCACTTTCGCCCGACTCCACAGGGGCAAGCAATTTGTTGCTTTCCATGGCCGAGCGAATAGACTCGACGCTAGATGGGTGGCACACATCGACGTCGAACATCTTGTCTCCACCAACAAAGCGCACATCACAGCCAACGGGCCATGCTGAAGGACCAGGATTGTAGAGAGTCCACGTCTGGCGGAACATAGTGCTTGGGGCCATCTTGGTACCGTCGGTGATAGTGTCACGGATGAAGAATGCCTTGTAGTCCGACATAGCAGAGCTATCGGTCTCGGGAATGGGCTTGCTCATGAATGGCTGAGGCTCAACCTTTTCCACAGGCTTGCTGCTAGCATCCGCCTCAACGGGTTCCTGCTCCTCAAGCTCGGCCTGGTCAATGGGCCGAGTGGGAGCATGAAGCTGGTCACCTAGGGCAACTGCTCCACTTAGGCCGTCGTCGCCCATGGTGCTCACAGTCACATTGCGGACCGGAGTGTTGAACTTGACTAGCGGATGAGTGCGGTTGTGGTGGCCGGTTGGAAGGGCCTCGCAGCTCGCACAGAAGTCGGTGTCATCACAGACAGCGCACTTGTAGCGAACTCCGTTGATGTAACTCTGAGCAGGCTTGCTCTTGCACAGAGGACCATCACAGAAGATGCCATAGTGGATTTCCTGTTCCCGAGCAGGTTCACCGATAGCATCGTAAACCTGCACGAACCGATGACTAGGGTGGCTCTGAGGAGCAGTCAAGATGCAATCGGGGCAGAAGTCCCAATCGGGGCAGGCCAAGCACTTGTGACGAACACCAACGATTCGCTAGCAAAAATTAGCCGAGTGCCTCCCAAGTGGGTTGAAGGAGTAAATACCTTATCACAGCCGTCACAGACAGCAGCGTGTCGGAACTGCCGACCGGGAAGGCAGCGAGAGGTGATCAGATTCTTCAAGCAGAAGTTCCGGTCAGATCCAAGGTGGAAGGTGTGGCCAGGGTGGTGTCCATGCTTGTTTCGGAGGAGACAGCGAAGGCAAAGATCATAGTCCTCGCACTCATTGCAGCGGACCAGATTGCTTTCATCGGCTTCTGTGCGTTGTCAGCAAAGAGAAGAGAGAAAGGAAAATGAGAAAGAGAAAACTTACCACGACAGCATCCGTTGCACATCGGCTTGTCATCGCCTTGAATGGCTGCATCCAAACAAGCCGACGGGGCAACTGGCTCTGGTACAGATTCTTGGATTGATTCTGGGATCGACTCTTGGATCGACTCTTGGATTGACTCAGGGGCCAACTCAGGGACCGACTCAGGGACGTGGACCACCGGCTTGGTGATCACCTCACGCTGAATCTGAGTAGGCAGCACGGGGTTGAATTCCAGCGCTGATTGATCACGAGGAGCAATAGTCTCGGTTGTACTGTTGGTGACGACACCATCCTTGACGGTCCTCTTGATCAACCAGTGACCTTCACCGCGGCAAGATGAGCCGGCACCGACACACTGTAGGCACAAGTCATAGTCCCCGTTCTCGCAAATGCTGCAGTGGTAATGCGCATTTGCAATAGAACGACCACAGTTGTTGCAGTCAATGCAAAACATCCCGTTGGACGAGGAGTGGGAGATAACCGGGAACTGATGCTTTTCTTGGTCCATCTCGAAGGTGCGGTAGCGAGGTTGACCGAGAGGCAACTCCTTCTCACCAGTGGAATGAGGAACTTGGACCGAGTCGTTGAGAGGGAGGGTATTGGGAGGTGCCAGAGGGCTTAGAACCGTTTCGAGATAACTGTGACGAGTCTGGTTGGTTGACTCCATTGGCACCGTGGGTTCTGATGGTACTGGTGATGGTACTGGTGATGGTGCAGATGTGTTTTGGGAAGTAAGAGTAGTAACCTTGATACGGAGCTTGGACTTGGCCTTGGCAGCTCGGTAGAGTTGTTTGTAGACTGCGATGTTGTCACAGTCTAAGCGAACGTAGGAACCAGCACTATCGGAATAGCGTTCAAGGATGACGTTGACATCCGCCGGAACCCCGAGCAGTTTCCTAAGCTAAACCAAAACCGTCAAATCAGCCTCTGAAGGAAAACAATGCGTATTCTTTTTTGTTTGGGGTTGGAAGAAAACACTTGGAAGATACAAAAGTTGATCTGATGCTCGTTGGAGATAAGGAATGGAGTCGGACTACAGATCCGGAGCTTGAGCTCGAGTGGAGACTTACCATCTGGGGAAACACCTGGGCCTTCAGCTCCCTGAGAGGCAGCTTGAAGCGACGGTTACTGTCATTGTAGAGTACTTTGACAGTAACCAGATTCTCTGGACCCGAATGAGAAGTAGTAGATGGGGTTGTCATCGTAGATGATGTGAAAGTCAAAAGGGTGTGGATACACCTTTGAGATAAGGCACCAGTACTAAGATGATGGGAAAAGACAAAAAGGGCACTGAGTTACGAGTAGGAAAGAAATGCCAGAGAAAATGATGATTTTTATGATGAAGAGGGAAAAGAAAAGAAGCAGGAGATTCTCAAGGAAAATAAGAGGGGAGTTGTACAAGAAGCCGTCGAATTGAAGGGAAAAAGCGGAGAGAACGGTCAGCTGTTGCGAGCTGACAAGGAAGGCGGTGAGTGATTTCCCTTGTAAGGGTGTATTACATAATCATATGACGTGTTCAAAGGGTCGGGGAAAATGCCAAGAACATACAGGTATCTCGAGGTATCTCGAGGTATCTCGAGGTATCTCAAGGTATATCTACATAATGGACTTAGTGGACTTAAGAAATTAGTTACAGTAGCTTTTTTATTCGTCTTCATCAGAACGCCCTAGAGAGGGAGTACAAGAGATCATCAAATAGAAAACAGGACACGGAAGGTGATGTCATGCACTGGGTGAATGCAGAACGGGGATTCGATCGCCCGATTGGAGGAGATTGGAGGGGATTGAGGGGGTTGGGATGGGCTGACAAGGGCTAGAATCAAGACGTGATATTCCCTCCCCAAGCCAAGTACAATGTGGGGAAGGTTGCGGAGATAGGGAAAACGCTCAAATGCATCAAAATCCAGGGCCAAAATGAGTCAAAACTAGAACAAAAATTAGAGAGGCAAAAAAAAAGGAGGCAAAAATTGGCTAGAGAATGTGGGATGCAGGTGGAAGAGAAGAAAAAGAAGAAAAAGCAAAGTGAACCAAAGACCCCTGTAGATCCTGGAGGGAGCTGAAAGCAAACCGAGAGAAAATTGAGAACAAAGAAAGAATTGGTAGACATTGAAGATGTCGATGAAATCAAAATAAATCAGAAGAGAGAGAGAGAAGAAAAAAAAAGAAAGAACCCAAGGTCATTCATCACTGCCCATAGTATGGACCGGATTGTTGAGGATAGTAGAAGGTCGTGCCTGGAGGCGTCATCATTCCACCCATCCCAACCACACCCCCAGGTCCAGATCCTGGTCCTGGTCCTGGTGCGGGACCTCCGTACATATGATTGGCATCGTAAAAGTAGACGGTGCCACCGGACTCATGCGCAACAGTACCTGGTGGAGGGGGTTGCTCCGCAGCTAAATAGGGAATTGCTTGCTGGCCCGGGAAGTTTGGCACAGAGGCTCCAGGCCCAACGGGTCCATTGTAACCCGTATAATCGGGCCCTGAGGGCGGGTAATACATGCCCGAAGGATAACTCGGAGGGTAGAAGCCAGGCTGCTGATAATTGTAAGGTTGGAAGGGCGGTGCGTGAATCGCCCGCTCCGGAATCTGGGAAAGCGGAGTGGCCGAGGGCTGGCTGGGTGGGCCATGGGCTGGAAGAGGGACCTGATGATGAAAGGGCTGCTCATGCTGGGGCTGAGGCGGGTTGAAAGCGAACGGGAAAGTCGCCGGACTTTCAATATCCGCAACAGAGACTGTCTTCTGAGGACGGGGTTGATGCATGGGGATCGGGGCGGGGCGGCTTTCGCGATAGGCCGGGTGAGGAAGGGACATGGTCATCGCAGGCCCAAATGGTGGGATCCCTACAGGCGGACGAGGTGGAGGGGGAAGGCGGACAACGGGCTTAGGGTCGGTGGGAATTATGGGTCTGGAGTAGACAGAACCAGCAGGTGATGGCCACCCATCTTGAGAAGGTGGCATGCCAAACGAAGATCGACGACTGACAACGCTGGGCGTGTAAGAGGAGTTGGGGTAGTAGCTGGGACGTCGTCCACTGTACCAGCCGCCACCACGACCACCTCGGCCACGAGAGACTTGGTTCGGCCGCAATGCACGGGGGATGAAGATAAAGGAACGTTCAACAGAGGGGAATATGTATCGGGGCGGCTGACTGGGAAGAGAAATTCGTACCGGCTTGTCACGTCGCAAGGGGGGTCGATGTTGAGGTAGCCTGGTGTGGAGTCTTTTGGGCACAGAAGAAAAATGAATTGGGTTGGCCATGCCGGGCAAGGAAACAACGACGGGTACATTCCCAACCAACGTCGTGCTAGAGAAGGACCGGTTGGGTGGGGAAGATCTCGGAGCGGTAGGGACGGAGATGCCAGTATTAGGCATCACGGATGGTGTTGGGCGCTTTGCTGTAGGTCGATCCTCAGCTACGGTATCGTGGAGATCGTGTGCCCACTGCCCTCCGCTGGCATCGGGTTTGGAAGACCTGAGACAAGTTAGCAAGAAACATGATTGGGGGATGGAATGGGACATTACATACCTGCGAGAGCTGCCGTCTACAATCAGGCCGTAAGGGCGAGACTTGCTCTTAAGCCGGTGGCCGTTGTCGGTGGATCGCTTGTCATGAAGGAAAAAGCTGCCGCGAGTGGGGACGAAGGCTGGGTTCTGCTCTCGTTCCTTGACATACTTGTCATTCTCGCGGCGCTTTCTAGAGGCCAAGTTGTTTCGATTTGGTTCGGTTGGAGGAGCGGAAGGCGTTCTTCCAGTGTGAGGCTCCCGTTGTTCCTTTAGATCGTCAAAATAAACCTCCGCAGGGTCGCCCGCACCGTCTGAGATCTTCAGGCCGTTTAACATTGCCTCTGTATCTGAAACAGTTGTCTTGAGTCCCGGCTTTTCAGGCGATGCAGAACTATTCCGTGTAGATTTGTCCACCCCACGGCCGTTGACCTTGCCCGCCTTATCCAACGTAGAAGCCTCGTCCTCGCTCTCTTCGCTAACTTCTCCGTCTGCATCTTCGTCCTCTTGGTGACTGTCGACCGAGCCTTCACTCAAAGAGTCATCTCCCATGTCCCCAGCCATTGAACCCTCTTCTTCGCCATCTTCCTCTTGTCTCTTTCTGCGGCTGGCTCCGATATGACGTCGAAGAGGAGCCATGTTGGAGACGCAAGAGATTAATCACTTTGGGGTGGCTTGAATATTTCCTGTTGACATACGCTTGACTGCGTGGTTATCAGGAGCGGATTGGCTTAGAAAACAGAGTGTGAAACCAGCGGGCGTTGAAGGACGTTAAACCGGTGGGATAGCAAATGAAATCAAGAAATATCAAAATACTAAGATAGGCTAGGAGAAACAGAAAGACACCTTTTGCAAAAAGAATAACCAAAGTGAAGAGAAAGAAGAGAAAGAGCAAGGGGGGAGAAGAAAGGAGATGCAGCCCAAGAGAGATGAGAAGTACAGAGAGACTCGAGTCCAGAGGAAGGGCATGACATCGCGAGAGACGTCAGGCCTGATCGGGCCTAGTCCAGGCGGTGAAGCTGTTTCTGCCACGATCGGGCCTAGAATTGTTTTTCTAAGGCTTAGCCTTTTATACTGGATTTGGTTAGTGTCTGGCGAACTAAATATTGACAATTATAGAATGGTTTAAATATAAAAGATTGAGGTTGGAGGAAGAACTTTTGCTTAATTTCTAGTAAATTCGAGGTTGCGCCCAAGTATGCAGGCCGGATGTTGTGATATCCGGAAGTATACATGCATTTTCTTGCGCATTCCACTGCAAGCTGTGCCACCGAGTAGTAGACTCGATGATCATGGATATCTGAGAGATCGTACAAATATTGAGAATTATGGAACAAATGTCCCGCATGAATCACAGGGTAGACCACGGAATTTGATCCCAATGCCACCTTGATTGCAGGCAGATCATTGACAGGCATCAGTATTTCACTGATACATATTGTGTATGAGATGATTGAATGGTCCTTTAAAAAGACCGCAGATGATACTCCACGAACGGTAGATAAGTAACTTAGTCAAATGTGGTCTTCTGACCTTGGCCCTCTACAATGGCACCACTGAGCTTCTGGACGGTTTCCTTGGAGTAGCGAGACTCATCGATGGATTCACGTCTCTTCTTGTGTCGGGGTCTTTCTCGTGATTCGCCATCGACTTCGGTGATAGCGGGTTCATCCTTCTTCTCGGCATCCTTTCCAAAGCGCTTCTTGTATCGTGTAGACGCATCTTCGGCAAACTCCATTCGCATGCGGCGGCCCATAAGCTGGTTCACCCAAACTCTTTGCATCCGGGGCTTGAGCTTCTTCGACTTCTTCTTCTTCTCGGATGCGGAGTCGGAATCACTGTCGGAGGAATCCTCTTCCTCGTCATCCTCCTTGATCAACATGAATCCTCTCACCGCTGCTTCTGCGGCAGCGAGTTCTTCAAACTCCACCCACGCATAACCCTTGCATTTTCCGGTATCTTGGAAAGTCGCCATATGCACGTTGTTAACAGTCCCGCATTTGCCGAAGTTTTCCTCGAGGTTTTCCTTGGTCACATCGAAGCTCAGGTTGCCGACGAAGATTCGCTTGGAGGGGGGGTGACCAGACTTGGCCGCACCCGCAGAATTCTCTTGGGTTTCGGATTTTTCAGGGCGACCTTCAAAATTGTTTGCATCCTTGATGAGCACGCGGCGACCGGTCATGAGCTGCTCGCTTAGGCCAATTGCTTCTTGCAAGGACTTCTTGTCGGTAAAGTCAACATAAGCAAAGCCTCTGTTCTGGGACCTTCCAAATCTTTCGGGTCCCTTGGGAAGATGAATTCGAGTGATAGATGACTCGGAGATGTCGGAGTTGACTGTGAAGAACATGCGCAGCTCTTCTCTGGTGACGTTGAACGATAGGTTTCCAATCCAGATACCATATTGGGACCGCTTCCCCTCTGTTTCGGCTTCTTTGGATTCGGGTTTGCTGGACTTGCTGGACTTGGGTTTTTCATCATCACCGGCATCGCCTCCTTTGTTCTTTTTCGCTTTGCGCAGGGCCTTTTTTGAGACTGGCTCGGGTGCAGAGACATCGATTTCAAGCTCAGGACCGTCCTGCAGCTTGCGCTTCTTTTGACTGACTTCGGTGAGTTCCGACATGATGTGAAAGGTATCGATAGTGTAATGACCACTAGAATAATAGCCAATCTATCAAAAATCCGAGATTGTTTCTGGTCACAAGAAATCAAAATTGGCAATAATTTAATTTTTTTTTTACGGCGGCCAGGACCCGCCTCCCACGCAGCCCGATCCGCTTCTTGGCGCGAACGCGCAGGGTGACCACATCCCCTTCATCTCTTCTGAACTTCTTTCTGCCATAACACCATGGCGGAACCAAACGACAACCGTGTTACTGAAAGTTTGCTAAGTGCACCAACTTCTGCTCCGGCTCCTGCAAAGCAATCAGTCCGGTCCTTCAAGTATGAGTCCTCACAATTAGCCCATCGGACAATGCTGACTCTCTTTTCCTTCTAGGAAGAAATATGCCAAGCTGAAAGTCAGGTTCGAGCTAGGGACTCGAGAGAATGAGAGCTTGATCCGGGAAGAATTGCGCATAGAGGACCTATCCAAGCGCATTCAGGAGCAAAACGAGTATGGAACTCACAAATCACCCCCCTGTTTGAATAATTGCTAATCCCTTGGTGCTAGTCAATTGCTGGAGGTTCTCATGGAGTTCAATGAAAGCCTACATGTTTCTCCGGATGTGCGATTCGATCTGAGCATGCCAAACGACCCTCCCTTGCTACCAACACCCGAGCAGGAAATTATACCTCTGATCAATGATGCAACACTAGCAAAACAAGCGTGGAAGGAAGCCAAAGCTGGCTTGGCTGCTGGTAGCATTGATACGGGTGCTTACCGTGCGATTGAGGATAACATCAAACGAAACAAGGCGTTTGCACCCGCCCAGCAATATAGCTCCCTGTCACAAACACATCACATCAGTCCAGACACTGTTGAAAAGAAGCCCGAGAATGATTGTGAACGCAAACTTGGATACTTTACGCCCGAGCACGAGACTGAATACTATCTCGCCTTGGACGCCAAGCTAGGCGATGAGGCGGCTGCTACGCAGCTTGCACGCATTCCAGATCGTCCAACATTTGCAGAGCGTGAGCGTGATCTTTCCATGCGGAATCCTGCATCGGTATACAATTGGCTGCGTCGCAACCAACCTCAGACTCTCCAGGATAATGAGATTGCCTCTGAAAAGTCTGCATCACGCCCTTCCAATCAGCGATCTTCCAAGCGAGCGCCAGCCCAGCGCAAAGATGAGGATATGTATGATGAAGATGGGGCAGAGGCCCACCCTACTCCCAAGAACAAGCGCAAGCGTGAAGAGGACACTGGTTATAGACCTAAGGGTGGCAGCAGTCGGTCGAAAAAGAAGAAGGAAGAGCCTACTTCCAACCCAAGCAAAGTGGCCAAAAAGCCTTGAGCAGTTACTTTATAAAGGAAATTCATTTTTTTTGTATTAATATTGGCGTTGGGTTGATTTCACTGGTTTCAAATGATACGATGGATCATTGGAATTCTTAATTTAAAATATAGTCATATCAATATGTAGTGTCCATCAGATATCTAGGTCATTCCAATGTAATGTACTCCGTACTTGCTCTTGTAAATATCCTTGGGGTGATGGCTATAGTGGAGCTATCACGTGACATGGATTTTCTTCTCTCAAGCAACCCATCTGGATGCCTCCTCTCCCATTTTGAAGTCAACCGCAATTGATCACAGACAACATTCTTTGCAATGGCAATTACTATTCTTCCTCCGGTGGTAGAGGATGCCCGTCCCTACCAAGCTGACTCAGATGACGATATGTCCATAGGCTCCGAGGAAGACGTCGAAATGACTGGCATCTCTCGGCCTCACAAGCGACCCCGTTTACAAGGAAACTCGAATATTGGCACAGGAATCGTCACACCAGGAGAAGTGGTCACAGATGATCCGCAATGGATGAGGTCAGTGCAACCTTGAAGACCGCGCAAAAAAAAAAAAAACGCGGGGCTCATATCGTCATTTTTCTTTTTTTTCAACACTAACAATCCACAGAGGTCACGGCACCTACATGAACCCGCTTTCGACATCTATCATTGCCACTGTTGCCGGCACGGTTCAAAAGACAAATAAGCTACTCTCTGTTCACCCTCTGCGCGCCCGCTATACCCCCGAGATTGGAGATCTTGTCGTTGGCCGCATTGTCGAAGTGCAATCACGACGGTGGAAGGTCGACGTCGCCGCGCCTTTACTTGCCCAGCTCCCTCTTTCCGCAATCAACCTTCCCGGTGGTATTCTGCGTCGACGAACAAGCGCCGATGAGCTCCAGATCCGAACATTTTTCAGCGAAGGCGATCTTGTAGTTGCAGAAGTGCAGAGCGTGCACCAGGATGGGTCGGCGTCACTACACACACGGTCCCTGAAGTACGGGAAACTGCGCAACGGTGTGTTCCTTGCTGTTACAGGAACCGGAGGTAGCGCAGCGTCTAGCTCTAGCGTGAAGGGCGGTGTTGGAGCTGGGAATTCGGCTTCAGGAAGCTCTTTGGCTGCTCCTGGAGGTTCTGGTACTGGCGGTGTGGTGCGGTCTCGTCGACAGGTGTGGACGGTTCCCACTGCCAATGGGGGTGGTGAGGTGAATATTATCCTTGGAGTGAATGGGTACATTTTTATCTCCAAGCATTCGGATGGGGCAGATGCCGCATCCTCGACTACGGAGAATGTCTCCATTACGCGCATGGAAGAGATGGTGTCAAGTTCGATCTACTCTAGCCAGAACGACGATATCCCGCCACAGACCCGTCGGGAGATTGCACGGTTGGCCCAGTGTATTCGAGTTTTGGTACAGAACGGAGTACGTGTGGATGAAGAGACGGTTATGGGTGCCTACAATGCTAGTCTGCAGGTGGATTTGGAGATTGGGGATGATGAAGATGAGGAGGATGAATGGCGACAGGAAGGTCGTGAGTATCTGGAGGGTGCCAAGGCCCAGCAGATCCTCGAGTTGGTGAAGCAGCAGCTGTAAACGGTTCTAACTGCTCGGATGTATGATAATGATACCCCTCAAACAAAGATAAATAGGGAACACTTGCATAATGTCAAAGTCCATGTCCAAACCACAGTTTGAGATTCACTATATCCCCCTGTTTACTCCCGGTACATCGATGGAAGGGATTCGGTCCGCAGGTCTTGTAGTATCTCGTCTTGTAGTATACTGATGTGTCATGGCTTCACAGCCTTGGAAGTGGAAACCTCTGCCATGAGTGGGCCAATATAAGCCAATGATCAGGGCCCGTGGAATCAGATTTGGCCAACCAGGTAGCTGTATTTTGTAAGAAACGTATGACTTGACATAGACTCATGTGGGAACAATGACGATGAGTGGTCTCAAGGAGAAATGACTAGAACAATGTAGTCGAATAGAGCAATAGCCAGAACAATAGACAGAACAATAGGCAAATAGATACCTGATTGGTGGAAAGTCAATAGAACAGCATCAATGAACAAAAATGTAGAGGCCATCTGATAGGCTTACATACGCAGTCACGAGTCAAACGGGGAAATCAAGATTCTATTGTTCCTTTTGTTCTTTTCTTCTTCCTCTTCTTCTTCTTCTTCTTTTTACTATACTCGAATCTTTTGAGAACATGCCCGATTACTTACTTCTTTCTCTTCTAATTCTCGACTATTGTCCAGTACCCATAGGTTAAAAACAACCTTTTATCGGCTTGACCCTTTCAACTACTTACTACTGGGTTCCCCAGTCTACTTCATCTTTTTCAAGCACTTTCTTCCCATTATCCCATAGTCAAAATGCCCGATCTACGTCGCCAGATCTTTGAGAGCGGTAAAACCGTCTCGCGCAAGGCAGCATCCCGTGAAGCATCCCGCACCAACTCCCCCGCCAGTTCCAAGCAGACCTCGCGCCAGGGCTCCCGCAATGCCAGCAGAGCTCCCTCGGACGAAGAAGACTCGGGATTCCTCTCTGATGAGACATCTATGAGGTAAGCAGATATAACCCAACCCCTTGCAGCTTTTGTCTTTTTGTCTTTTTGTGTCTTTGTGTTTTTTCTTTTTCTTTTTTTTTTTTTTTGTATCTTTCGTATGGTCCCCACTCCCGTGGCGGGATGATGTCACCAATGATGTCGGCAGGTTTTACAATCAAGGCACTAACCAAGTTGGGATAGTATCGGATCTCTCGATGATGAGAACCCCGAACAAGATAATCCTGATTGGGAACATGAACTCGGCGAGCGTATTCAAGAAATTCTCGATCGCAAGCGCAGCAGTGTCCAAGGCCGCGAGGAGGCCCTGCAAGCATTCTGCCGCCTGACTAAATATCACTACACAGTGGAAGAAATTCACGGCGCCGTTCCAGACCTACTGGCGGCATTTGAGCGAAGCGTCCGCACCGAGGTCAGTGTGCGCGAAGCAACCCTTGGCTTGCGCGCTATTGAATTGCTTGTAATCTCGGCTTTCGACAATACCGTTTATGAAAACACCGAGCCCTTGCTCACCCGTACCATCCGTGACTCCACCTCCCCTCGTGTCAAGACAGCCGCTATTCACTGCCTCGGGGCATGCACTATCTTCGGAGGTGCCGGTGAAGATGGCATGCTTGAACAGATGGGTTTCCTCCTGGACATCATCGCCTCTGACGGCCAATCCATCGATGCCGCAGATGACCCCACCATTGTGACCGCCGCGCTCCAGCAATGGGGCTTCCTCGTCACCGAAGTCGATGATTTTGAGGAAGAAAGCGAAGAGGCAGTCCAGATCTTTATGGATCAGCTCGACAGCTCTGATTCCAACGTGCAGATCGCAGCAGGAGAGAACATCGCCCTACTCTATGAGAAGAGCTACAGTCCCCAAGAGGACGACGAAGACGAGGAGAGTGCAGATTCAAACGACGACAGCGATGAGCGCGAACACGACAACGATCCTACCTCCGGTCCCAAGCTCGTGAAACGATACAACGCTTACCACAACACTCCCGAGCTGGAGAGCCAACTTCAGAACCTGGCCACCATCCATGGAAAGCAGATCAGCAAGCGCGACAAGAAGTCACTCCACAGCAACTTTGCCTCGATCCTCACCAC